TACTTCACTCACTCACTCACTCTTTAACATATTGGAATTGGAGCTCCATTCCACTCGTTGAGACATTCCATCATCGGATCAATGATTTTTCCTTCGCAAATCGCCGTGAAAACCTTGTCGAATTCTTCTCCTGGCGACGTAACTTTCTCTCCGGTCAAAAGCTCTGTTCCAACCTCTTCCCTAACGAACCTATACAAAGGATACGACCTACATTCCTTGATCCTGTTCGGTATAGCAGATGTTCCATTATCAAACGCCGCTCTAGCTGCCTCGACTTCTTTCGGTAACACCGCTTTGAGCTCTTCCTCGAAAGATGTAATCTTATGGAAGATGGAAGTCACTGTGTTCTTTTCACTCTCACCATTAACCAAAGCGTGATCGACTATAACTTGTCTTAGCTTCTGGATCAACGGGTACGTTGCGCTACAAGGATCATCTACGTATGTGTAGACTTGTTCACGGTCTACGACTTTGACTAAATCCTTCTCGCAAAAGCGAGACGGGTGAAGATCACCATTGATTGTAGAAGTAAGAGTTTTCTTCGCCACTTGAGCGACAGTGTTCTTCACTGTCTGTCTCAGATTCTCCTCCAAATGTCTCAGATCGATGGCTTGGCAAATCGCGACAAGGAATGTAGTGGACATGAGCTTGAGAATGTCGACAGCTTCGGATGTTTTGCGAGACGAAATTAGTCCGAGAGAGTTCACGTCTTGGTTATGTTGCTCTGCTGATTGAACATGGCTAGTCACTGGATTAGCTAAGTACTGAAGCTCAGAACAATACGAAGCCATAGCAATCTCAGCTCCTTTGAAACCATAATCCAAACTCGGATTCCTCGATGCGGTTAGATTCGAAGGTAAACCATTGTTGTAGAAATCATTCACAAGCTCAGAGAATTGAGCAAACATGAGCTTACCAATCGCTGCAATTGCAAGACGAGTGTTATCCATAGAAACTCCGATTGGTGTTCCTTGGAAATTCCCACCGTGAATCGCTTTGTTTCTCGAAACATCGATCAATGGATTATCGTTCACTGAGTTGATCTCACGCTCGATCGATTTCGTCGCGTAACGAATCACTTCGATTTGAGGACCTAACCATTGAGGAGAAGTACGAAGAGCGTAACGATCTTGTTTAGGTTTCTGCAATGGATCCATCTCGTGAAGCTTCTTAGCTAATTTCATGTACGAGCTTCCGTCGAGGATATGCTCCATTATCGCCGCCGCTTCGATTTGGCCGGGATGATGTTTCAATCGGTGAGTCAGATGATCGGTGAACTCAGGCTTTCCGCTCATAACCTCGGCGAAAACCGCCGATAAAATCTCAGCCAAAACAGATAGAACATTCGTCTCGAACAAAACCATCGACGCCATTCCAGATCCAACCGCCGTGCCATTGACTAACGCAAGACCTTCCTTAGGTTGCAGATCGAAGAATCCGGAGGTGATTCCGGCGGATTTGAAAGCTTCTTCCGCGGTTAAAGGTTCGCCGTTGGGACCTGTGGCTTTGGAATTAGGACGGCCGGTGAGAAGTCCGGCGATGTAGGAGAGAGGAACGAGATCTCCGGAGGCGGTGATTGTACCGCGGAGAGGAAGAGAAGGAGTGATGTTGTTGTTGAGGAAACTTGTGATTGCTTCGAGGATCTCGAATCGGATACCGGAATATCCTTGAAGGAGAGTGTTGATCCGTACAAGCATGGCGGCTCTTGTGGCGGAGTGAGGCAATGTGTGACATGTTTCCTTCGTGGAGCCGAATATTCCGGCGTTTAGGAATCTGTTTTAAACATCATTCGAATTGCGTGTGGATTAGTTATGTTAATTAAATTATGAAATTAATTTTTTTAATTAGCCGAACAAAATATAGTACTTTAAATAAAAAATTGCCCAATAGAAAGAACCAGACCCGCAGCTTTCCCCATGCAACGTCATGATTATATTGAAGAAATTATTTTCCGTTATTTTTATAGTTTTAAAGTTTCATTTTTTTTTAAAGCCACAAATTTTCTTTAAAAATCAAAGTAATTCAATAAGTTGGAGGATACAAAATATCTAGATTAAAACTCTAAAAAAATCTAGAAGCAAAACTATATTTTTCTCGGACTAATATATATAACTTAACGGTTATTTAATTTTGCAAGATCAATATTGTTGAAAAAAAAAACCTTTCATAATTGTAAAAAGCATACAAATTTTCCTGACAAATTTTGTTTTTAAAAAAAATTCCTAAAAATGTTTCTTTAACTGTCATTTTAATTGGGGAATCAAATATCTAGATTAGAACAAAGAATCAACAAAAGGGGGAAAATATCAAATAAACTACCACCTAAAATTCTTTTTTTTTTCTTCTTTTCATACAAATAG